CACAGTGGATACTTTGTCCGTCTTGCTAAGTCTACATCTAACGTTGCAAGATTATTGTCCAGAGTTGTTCTGGATTTCATTAAATGTCTACTGAAGAAGCTGGATATTACTTAGAGATGTTTCGTAGCTTTGCTTTGGTTTCATATTCTTTGTAGGTAACTTAACTACATACTGTCTTTTTTGTTTAAAAAGAAACATACAAGTTCTTAGCTAACTTGTAGATTCTCATGTTGTCTAACACAGTCACAATAACGCTTGTTTTCTCTGATTTAGCCATGGTTCCTGCGAGAGTAGAACCGTTGTGTGGAAATATGGCTCTCTGACCTATCACATTCATTGTGCGCACGGCACACCACAGCAGCTAAACAGTCAAACAGTCCTCTAATAAAAGTGCTCTTTAACATACATTTTGCATAGAAGGACGTAATTATTTAATCAACACGCATCAAATCGCTTTTGCGTGGATTAACTATCGACAAATCTATTTTCCAACTCAAGTGAGCGTAAAACGGGAGGAGATTTTTATTGAATGATTGAGTCACTCAGTGAGTTTCAATTTAGCTGATGATTGTTAAAAAAAAGAAAAAAGATAAAGCGGCCTTTATGAGAACAAAGCATCGCTGTCACTCCGTCCGGCCCTGAATTGCTCATTCCACGGTTTGACACTTGGTAATTGTGTTGTTGAATTAGATTATTAAAGAACACAACTTGAGCCGTTGTTCTTAACATCATAGCTCAAGGTACAGCCAAAGATGATGGAAAAACAATCTCATCATCAGAGACTTACTTTATACCAACACAAACTTGTGAACATGCGCATGGTGTCATCTATAGCACACACACGCGCACACACACACAGACATAAACAGTGTAATGAAAGCTGTAGGCTGCTCTGTCTGAGATGGATGGCTTGACTTTAAGCTTGTATAAATAAAAGCTAAATAAATCCTGATGGCCTCAAGTGATGGTTCGCATAGAGCGGGAGTGTGAGTGTGTCAGAGAGATGCTTGTATACACACTCGACTCGACAAAGTTGAGCATGTGTGTATGTGTGTGTTTGTGTGAAAAAAAAGTTTAGAGAGACTCATGCTGGCACTCAGCCTGCGGCTCTCTTTCATTCATGTTTCTGACATAAAGCGAAGTGGAAAAAGAATATTCAAAAGCCAGAGGACCAAAGTCACCCTGAAAAAAACACTCCACATCTATCTTCCTCTCTGTCTCTTCTTATTCTAAAAATGCCATTGCTGACCTCTTCATAGAGGCACCGTTCTCTTTAAAATGAGGAGAATTATTGACATGGAAATTTAACCTGTCTCGGAAAAGCGGAATTTAACACTGATATGTGCACTTTGGAATGCAATTAAAACCAATGCTGCATCTGAAATACACATCATTTTTCTGTAAGTAATCATAACAAATATTAGTTTTATGTTATTTTTTTTCACCTTGGGTGTCATTGTTCTTTCTTTTTGCCTTGCAGTGTTGGTTAAAAACTCCATCAAAGTTTGTTTAGTGGACATTTGCATTGTTTTAAAGCAGCTTGAGAGAGATATGATACTTTCACCTGTTCAAAGTACGTTAATCCCACAAAAGTGAGGCAGTCAAGCAAGAAAAACAAAGTTTCTTATAATATTTCAATTAGATTAAGTTAGATAATGCTCCTGTCAAACTTTGCTGTTGTCCTCTTTGGATCATATTAATTCCAGTTAATTTTTTCTCGCATATACATCAATGTCAAGTGGCCCTGTACCTCCTGTAGCCACCCTGGGATGTTCTCCTCACTGATAAATGACATTATTTCTCCTTCATGCTGTTGCCTTTGTGCTTTTAAGAAGTAGAGAATGATTAACTGATATGATGCTCAGGATGCTTTGAGCTTGAATGCTGAAATGGAAGCCAGATATTATTCAGTTCAAATGCCGTCCTTTTCACCAAAATCAAGCTTAATTCTAAAGCTCGTTAAGGTAGTGCATTTCCTCTAGTGAACCCTGTATATGCAAAGGGTTAAAAGCCCCCCTAGAAAAGCAAAGGAATACTGAGAAGTTGGTCTAAGTTATTTGTAATCTATCTTCCATAGATTTGTTGAGGATTACAATCAATAAGGCTGCATTCAGTGTGTTAATTGGTTAGGGTGATAGGATCAATAAAAAAAAAAACATTATAAACATTCAATCGTAGTTTACAAAAGAGGTTCAGTGTGTCGACGTCTGCAGATCATAATATATGTGTGAGGTTTCAAGGAGTCTGGGGAAATCTCAGAGTGGAGAGGGCCAAAGACAACTATCAGATGTTGTTGACCCTCATGACCTCAGGTGACACCGCACGAAAGACCATCTCAATCAATAAAGCCACGTGGGCTCAGGAGCACCACGGAAAATCATTCTCATCCTACGTTTTCTGAATTGTATCATGCAGGGAGGAGGCCATGCATTCATTCTGCGTGTCTTCTGGACACAAACTCATCTCAGATGGACATAAAAAGGGCAGACGAGTCCTGGTTTCACTTTGGGAAAATTCAAGGTACGTACCAAAAAAGGGAGAGTGTTATGTTTGTTTTTTATGGGGGTGTATCAGTGCCTAGGGGTGACCTATGCAGGTGCCCCTGATGCAGACGTGTAAATTGGAGGATTCTCTCCTGTTCCGACATTCCAAACAAAGACATAGGTGTTGGCTGCTGCTGTTCCGGCGCTTCACTCCAAACAGAAAACCTGCGTCACCTTAAAGATTCGACATGTTATTTAATGGCCTGAAATAGGCAACAGTGGCATGTTTTTCTGCCTTTTCTGCTTTCCCCCTCTCTTGGGACGGAGAGCATTTGGCAGACAAGCTTTTCCACTTTTTGTCCTCATCCTCTCTTGTCGCTTCTTCCATTCATTCTTTCTGCTGCCCGTCCCCCCCCCCCACACACACACATCCCTTTTAGCCTCCCCTTCTTCTTTGTCTCTTGCTGAGTTTGCTCATCATCCTCTTTCTTGCCCTCCACATTTCGAAGTCCAATTCCAAGTTCATTTCGGTCATTATATCCCCACAGAGAGATATTCACCTCCACTAAGAGCTCATCTCTCTCTGTCTTTCTCTGGGTCCGGCTTCAGTCGGATCATTATTAGCCCTGAGAGACAAATGACTGCCATCTGACTGTCCTTTAATCTCTGTACTTTGTTTTACTTTTTTCATCTTCCAGGCTAGCCCACCTTTCCCCGTCACATTCCCTGTTTTTTTACATTTCTAATTTTCTCGTGGATGATTGTATTTTTCCACTTCATCTCTTTCATTGACGGGTGGCTGTTTTGTATTAATAAGCAGAGCACATGTGTACTGTCCCTGAGAATTAAAACTGATCAGAACTGTAAAGTGGGGAATCATTTGGGTAGCTGATTATCTAAGTCTTTAAAAATGGGGAAAACACGAGCCAATAAATCCATGAATACACTTTTTTAGTTTAGTAATGTGAAACCTGGTAGTCCACTTGTTTCATGCTTGATGCTGAGATTTGCTCGTAAGAACGTCTTCAATATGTAAGTTATATTTCCACATCGTTCACCTTTTACTGTTGTATTTGAGTTTAAATGATATATTTAACCTTTACACCCACCATGAAATGTATAACTTATCGGTTGGGTGCTCATGAAGTTTAGAAGATTTGTTGGGAGGAAAAAAGTTTGGGTTTGGATTCTTCTGCTTCAACTTTTCATATGCAAATATTCCAGATTTAGGTTCTGGTCCAGGCAAAAGGAATTTGTTCCAGGAGTGACCTGCTTTGGCCTTGAAGCTGAAGTGACCAAAACACAGAGCTAAAGGTATCAGGGATTCCTTTCATATGAAATAATGAGCAGCTGTATCTTCAAACCCTCTTGTTTGCTCCTACCTTCCTTCAGTGGCATCATTCAATGTGTGTGTGTGTGTATGTGTGTGTGTGTGTCTTCACTCTTCCCCTCTGATTCAGTCAGGGTTTCTCAATGTAATGAGATTACATGGGATTAAAGAAAAAGCCTTCTGTCTGTAATCCACACCACTCAATCCCATTTCACTCCTTAAACACACACACTTGTAATTCTCTTTGATGCTGCTCCATGATCTCTTTTCTTATTCTTTCGTGGCGTTTTCTTTTATTAATCCTCTTCTTCTTCTTTTGTTATATGGATGATCACCATGGGCCACTTTGCCTCTACTCTTTTCCTCACTTAATGTTTTGACTTTTCAGTCTCTTTCCTTTTTTTCCATCTTGCGATTCTTTCAACTTTCCTTGGTTTTTTCTTCTTGGGTAGCTGTCCTTTTTTTCCCTCCATCGCCTGTTTTTTCTCGCTCTCTCCATCCCGTCCAGCCCTCCTCACCTATGTCTGAGGTCGGTGTGTGAGGGACATGTGCCAATCCTGCCACCAGAAGTCGCATGTGAGCCGCAACTGAGCAACTGCACGCACGTGCGCGCGCACACGCGAGCGCGCTGTGCACGCAGGCAAACATTATGAAAAAGGAAAATAAAAACTTCCCGTTTCAGAGTAAAGCAGCTCGTGAGAAAGTTTATGAAACAGCAAACGGAGAGATCTGACCGATACCCCAAACATACACACAAACACACACACACAGACACACACACTTCAATGGAGTGTAATAAAGTCCTCCTCTTTGTTTTTTCTCACCAATCGCACCGTTAGCCCGTATCTGATTGGACGAACGGATTGTCTATCAAAGCAGAAGGAGGCGGGGCCAGGACGAGGGCTGACCTGGAGTCCGATCGAGTCTGTTTTACGCACAGACCGGACAGTCCACGCGCGGATGTCTAGAAAGGCAATATCCCGGAATTAATTAAGCAAGAGTGAAAGTGAACAAGAGGACATTTGGCGAGAAGAAAGAGGAGAAAGTGAACGGAAAACTAAGAGGAAAGAAGCACAAGTGTTTCCCAACTGGAAAGAGAGGGGAGGAAAGTGTGTGAAAGCGAGAGACAGGAGGAGAGAGTGTGTGCGCCTTCACCACTCTCCACTTCTTCCACCGCCACCTCCTCCATGTCGCTCCCCGGCTCCCCAACGCTCCTTTCGCAGGGCTCTGGTGGCCCAACTCCCGTCGGGCTGTACCGGTCAGCCCCGGAGGGGCTCCACACCTCCAGCGCGTCCACCGGCACCTCCAGCCCGGCGCACACCATTTCCAACTCCCACTCCCACTCGCTGTCCCCGTCCCCGCGGCTCACCAGCAGCATGCTCAGCGCGTTCCTGCCCGGGCCGGGGGGCGCACTGGCCGGTCTGGGGAACGGAGGGGCCGCCCCTCTGGTGTCCGCAGGCGGCGCTGCCCTGGGCTCCCTCGGCGGGCTGGGCTCCCTCAGCGCGGCCGGCCTGACCCCCGGCTCCCCGGGCTTGGTGCAGACAACCTCCAGCCCGGGTCTGTGCAGCGAGTGCAAGCTGGTGGAGGTGCACGGGGTGAAGGTGGCCAGCTTCAGCGTGGACGGCCAGGAGCTGATCTGCCTGCCGCAGGTGTTCGACCTCTTCCTGAAGCACCTGGTGGGCGGGCTGCACACCGTCTACACCAAGCTGAAGAGGCTGGACATCGCGCCGGTGGTGTGCACCGTGGAGCAGGTGCGCGTCCTGCGGGGCCTCGGCGCCATCCAGCCCGGCGTCAACCGCTGCAAGCTCATCTCCAGGAAGGACTTCGAGACCCTGTACCAGGACTGCACCAGCGCCAGGTCGGTGAACACTTTTATTGGGTTTTGGATAGAATCTAAAAGCTTTTAAACAAAAAGAAATTTACTCAGCAACTTTCTGCTCAGTCCGTGCGCAAAGTTTGCACGTAAAGTTCAACTCTGCCTGCGCTGTTTGGAACATTTCTCCAATTGTCTAAACAAACAAAGTAACAAACAAAACAAATCACGCACAAAACAAAAAGCCACTGGGATTATGGCTTTTGTTATATGCATGTGCATGTCCTCTGATTTAAGATGATCTTTTCTAATAGCTTTGTAACTATATCTATTTAAACGAGTGAATTCAATGTGATAAACTTTTTCTTAAGTCTTATCTCAGTGACAGACTTTGATATGTCCTCGGATGTTGATCGTGTCATGAACATCTGCATGTTTCTGCTGAACAGTGTGTGTGTGTGTGTGTGTGTGTGTGTGTGTGTGTGTGTGTGTGTGTGTGTGTGTGTGTGTGTGTGTGTGTGTGAGTGTGTCTCTGAGAGGAAAACGACAGACACTCACGTCCATCGGTTTTATCCACGATTGTCTGCTCTGGTCATGACTTTAGAGGTGAAAGAGATGCTTTCCGTTTGATGGAAGTGTGTGTGTGTGTGTGTGTGTGTCTGTGTGTGTGTGTGTGTGTGTTGTTAAATGAACAAACGAGCAGACACATGTTTCATTAATTTCATTTGAACAGAAACACACAGCAGCAAATAAAGGCAGAGCAAACAACTGGCTGCTTTGCTCTGTTTGCACACAATCCATTACTTTATATCTCACTGCTCTGTGTGAACGTGCACGTGTGTGTACGTGTGTGTGAGTGTGAGAGAGAGCTGTTTCTTTGTGAATTGTGCTGAAGATCATGTGTCAGTCTTCTCCTTTTAGCAGGAAAACTGAGTGTGTGTGGCGGAAATGCAGCATTGGTGTCAGTTTTTTTACACACTTCTTACAGAGTTTATTTGATATGTTTGTGAGAGTGTACGGAGAGTAAAGTTGTTTCTGTTTTAATTTGTGTGTTTTCACCAATTTGTTAGATCGGATTAGCTTCCCCGAGTACCAAAGAATAGAAAGGGTCTTTTATCTGGGGTTAATGTGCATCTAATTTCTTACATTCCCTCTTTATTTGCTTGTGGTGGAGAGCAGCGATTTTGGGAAAGATGCTGCCGGTTTGTTCACCGTGTTTTTTTTGTGTGCCTGTGAGACATGGGAGCACAGCGGTGCAGTGGACGTAGATTTTCTGATGCTTTTAGGCAGCCGAGAACTTTATTTCCACTCTGATGCTGCACCGTTTGACCTCCCAAAAGCAAACGTAAAAGGGAAAAATAAACTGTCTGTAATTTTTTACCTTGAGCTCGGAGATGCTTCAAGTCTCGCCGTTCTCCCATGAGCCAAGCTGAGAAAAAGATCTGCGGTTTGGGCCTGACACAGAGATGCTGTGTGATGTGGAGAGGACAGGTGTGCGCTGGACTCCTGAAAGCAGCGTTGTCCGGCGGGTTTCTCTTTATCCACGTGTTAACAGTCGGGGCAGCGATGTTGACCCACCGCTTTCAGAGCCCCCGGGCAACAGATTACTGCACTTTTGCCCTCCTTCTGCTCAGGATGAGATGATAAAAAAAACAGAACACACTAACAGGCCACACATTTGTAGATTAAGAATGACTCTGGCTTTAGAGGAATACTGTGAAATCAAGCATTCTTGGAGGATAAAAGTCAGAGTAAAGGAGATTAAGCCATGGTTGTTTGAGAGTTCACATCCTCAGTAGGGTGAGAATTTGTTAACAGCTAATACGTAAAACAATGTGTGCCAAAATTGTAGTTTGGCATCGGTACCACAGGCTCTGAAGGTAGTCAGATACTAGGTGGACTTTGGGCTAATATCTGCAGATCTTCAGTGGATTGGGGCTTCATCTCTGTTCTCTACCTCCTCCTGTAAGCCCAGGCTCACCTCCTAATACTCAGATCAGAGCTCTGAGGTAATTGCAGGCTTCTTCCTCTTTTGGCTAAGGACAGTTATCTAAACTTGTTGTCTTTCTGCAGAGTGAATTGTTCAGAGAACACAGCCACTGTCCTGATAGGAATCTGAAGCGCGCAGGTGTCGGGGCCTCGGTGGGAACCCGGGCCGTCCTCCGGCTTATGTTTGCATCAGAGACGATGATAGATGGGCGGCGTTGGCTGGCGGGGCGTCTCACTTTCGGCTAATGATTAACAGTTGATTGTGTTGCCGTGGAGTCGGTGGATTGCTGGCGCGTGACCTCTGCTTTTCGACTGACCACACGCACAGAGAAACACACAAACGCCGCCCCGGCGGTTTATTTATCCCCAAATGTTCAGCCTCCCACCTGCTTTTGCCTCTCCGGGTTCGTCAGTCAGCATTTCGCCCCTTTGCGGACTCCCTGCGCTCTTCTCCTCTCCACGGACTCACACGGTCACAGGTGCCTTCCTGTCTCTGGATTTTGCCCTCATTTCTGACTTTCTCCAGATCTCAGTCGTTGCGTCGCCTCTCTCACACACGCACACACGCACACAGACCCACACACATGCCCAGCGGTACATGTCAGGGGTAATAATGGATGATGTGAATGCACATGGAACAACACGGCTGGAGAGCCATTGTTGTTGAACGCACAGTGAACACACACTCCTCTCTCTCCAGTCATATTGACATTCTTTTAATGCCTCTCCCTCTCACCCTCTTTAATGCCCCCTCCCTCCCCCTCCCCAACACCCCCCCTCCGGACATTATTCTCTGGGAAAAGAAAGAGAAAAATTAAATGTTAACACACACACAAACACACAAAGAGAAAGAAAACTCCCGCTGGGATTCTGCATACTTTGTCTTCTCGGTAACCCATGCAAGTGTTTGTGTTTCAGCATGTGTAAATCCACTTGTACCCCCGATGTCGGTTTTGTTAACTTGCGTTTTGTTTTGTTTTAATTTAAAGTGCTCTTGATGTGGTTTTATTTGGGATCTGCTCTTTCAGTGAGGCAGGAAAACAAGCACGCAAAGTGTGGTGTGAAGCAAAGTTCCCACACGCCTGGATAAAGAAAGGAAAAGAAAAAAAAAATCAAAGTTATTTAAAGGAGATGACATCAGCTCTGTGACCCGCATACCTGACTGGACGGGGGGTTAACGACCCCTTTCACGCTCACACCCGCGGCCACTTTGAAAATGAGACAAACCTGTTTGTCTTAGGACTGGTAGAAGCCGGAGAAAATCCACACATGTGCAGGAGAACGATTAAACCACACTGACAAACGGATGGGGCCAGCTTCTGTTTAAGAGCAACTGCTGGGATTCATCGGCTGACCATTATTCCCCTTGTTTTACCATCATTAAAGGTGTCAAACCCTGTTGAATATGTTTAAAAAAACAGTGGTTTTCCTCCAGTTTAACTAAGCGTGGCAGAAGTTGGAGAACTTCACGAACAGCGCGGCGGTTTTTAAAGGAGGAAAAGTCACCTTTGGTGGTTCCCGTGGTTGTGCGGTGGATTTAAACACATGGCTGTCAGGCAGGAGGTATGAGCTTGTACCCGATGACTCAGCAGCGGGTACAAGCGTTCATTTAGATTTTTTAAGGTGCCTTTTGATTCTTTTCGGGGCATGAAAAGCTTGTTGGTTGGACTCAAATCGAACACTGTCTCCCTTTAAGCCAGGCTTTACTCAAGTGTTTCAGTGTGGTTGGATTGCTGACTTTTCATTTTTGATCGAATCTATTTAGCTCATCTTTTCATTCTGGAAAACTTTCCAGTCCTCCCCGTGGCTTTAATCTCATTAGTCCATCATGATTTTGCACACCAGGAATATTAGGAAAGCAAAGGGGCTGCTCTCTGTCGCATAATCTAGTCTTTTTCTTGGAATTCCTCTGAGAGCCTCACAAATCTTCTCTTTAGCGTGCTCACACGTGGAGATAGGTGACCACTGGGCCCGGTGTGGACAGTTTCCCATATGTGTGTGTAACAGAAATGGTCATACATGTCATTTTAAAGGTGAGTGCATACTCCTCCATTCGTAAAAAACAAAACAAAAAAAAAAACAGACCAATCCAGCCTCTCACCTTCCAGGTAGATACTCGGCTGGAGTGGAATAATTCCCGGCCAAAGCCTACAGTGAATTGAACTATACTTACAGGTACAATGACAGAAAAGCGAGACGTGGCGGTCCACACCTTTGCAGCGCCAGACTTACTGTTGTCAATAAATCAATTCCACTTCTGCGTTAGCGTAATGGGACAAGGGCAGTGTTCCAGAGAGAGAAACAGTCGGCCTACAAAAAGAGGAACGCTGGCGCGCTCAACCCGGAATCAAGTCCAGATGGTCACAAGAAATAGTTTGCTGGACAGTTGTCCGCGTAGAGCCGCACGCACATTCCCCGACCGTGACATTTATCTTCAGATTATGTCACGTGGCTCCGCTCGATCCTCACACTCTCAGGGAGCATCCTTCCCTAAAGTCCCTGTAGATGTTAGGCACTCAGACTTGTAATGAATTCCTCTTTTTCCAGTTTACTTGGTGACCGGTTGTGCTCCGACTGCCAAAAAAATACAAACACCAAAACCGTGTGCAGAGATAACTGCAAGACTTCTGAAGTTACAGGAAAAAGAGCATTCATACGCATCACCATGTATATGTTTCATGTTTTTTTGATATTTGATATTTTTCTTAAATAAACCTCTGAGCGGTTTTGATCTGAGTGAGAGTGACTGAGTGTTTTCTGCTTCCTTGTCACCTCTGTGCTTTTTTTATGTTGTGTGTTTGCGTGCGTGAGAGAGGGAATCGATAGTGAGTGACAGGAGGGAGGGCTGCTGATGTCGGAGTGTTATTCTGGGCTCTCCTTATCACGACAGGCTGTTAGAGCCCACACACACACAAACACGCAGACACACACATGCCCATGCCGATGATGGAGGTTGTATTGTCTGTAACGCAGGGGGGAGAAAAGTCGTTTTGGTTTGTTGAAGCATTGCAGCTTCGCACACCCTCGCAGAAGAAATTCGGCACACGCTCAGCGTGAGCTCCTTTCATCCATTTGGGGTTTTCCATTCGTTTGCATGGAGCATTAAGTTCTTTTAATGGAACACAGTGGTTTGTAAAAACACACACTGAAATGTGGTCAGTTGTGTTGTGCCTGCTGGCTGAGGTGTGTGTGTGTGTGTGTGTGAGACAGTCTGGAGAACACAAACAGAGCTATCAGTTGTCACACTGGCTCTGGTTACATCTGTGCGTGGAGGTGTTCACACTCGTCCGCTTTAGTGTCCGGGCGATATTTGTGTGTTTTGTTTCTGCCGGTGTGTTTTTCCTTGCGTGCGTGTGTGTGTGATCTGTGTCTGGTTTCATCTCCGCTTTGTGCTGTTGGTTAATTGATAAAGGTTAAAGCGCAGGCCGGCGGAGAGCTGGGGGTCACCTCACCGCAGCTAACAGCCAGGCGCTGGCCAATCAGACGACGAGAAGAGGAGGCACAGTGAAGCCTCTCTGGAGGTTTCCGTCGGCCACTGTAAAAATCAACTAAAAATTCAAAACATCTAAACTGCATCCGGTCTGAACCGCATATATTAAACTTTCATCACTAACTCGCTTATGCGTAATTGACCGTAAATGTATCAGGTAAGCCAAATTTCTTCTTGCGTGTCTCACATAAATATCAGAGATTTTGAAATCTATAAATTCTACTGTTTTGATTAAACAAAAGAAAAAGTGTTGTGTTTTTTCATTCGTTCCTTTTTAAAACTTCTCAGAGGACATTTGCTCCATGCAGGTGTGTTAACTTTTGTACACTTAGAGCCCTGTGGATTTTTACATGATATAAAGTGTTATTGTACATTCTGTTCTCATTAATACGCTGCTCTAGTCGTTAAACAACTGCCAAACAGAAGGACAAAACATGCCGTGAAAGTTACAGAGAAAAAAAAGGAACCGATATTGTTCTTTTTATTTAGAGTTCACTAAAATAGCGTCATAGTGAATTGTTGTGTCCATGATAATTCTGCGGGGAACATTTGATATCATGACTGCCATGAAAAAAAATCAATGGATAGCAGTCAAAGGATGGAATTTCGATCCGGCAAACAACTGTGTAAATGCAGCTTTTGTCATGCAAAGCTCTAAACTTTAAGATCAGGTCTCCCGTTTTCTGTGCTGACTCCCATCTGCAATTTGGAGCACAGCAAATTAGTACTTTTGTGAATTTAAGCTACTTGAATTGAAAGTTAATCCTTGGTGTTATTGATAGTTTGGTGAAGGAGTTGCTCACGCTTTCCTTTCAGAGACTTGGCTTCATCTGACCCAGACACAGGCCTTGAACTGACATGAAAGAAACCCCCTGAAACATTTTACTTGGAAAAGTAATGCAGTTTGTTCCTAAAAATGTCCCATGCCGCCGTGCAGTTCCTCCTCTCTGGTGGTTCCTGAACTTTTCACTGATAACACAATCAACTTTATTGCCACGGCCACCCTCACATGTCTTTTAAAGGGAATTCTGTGGTAAATTCCCACTGTATAAATTTTTCTAAGTGACAGAGCTGAAAAAAAAACACACACACACAGCTCATCCCGGATTTCCACAGACAAGTCAGAAAAGAGCAGGTCCTTAATATCCTGTGTTCAGTTTAATGTTTATCGCAGTTTCTAGCCGGCGACCCGGGGGCTGAGTGTGTGTTTGTGTGTCTCAGGGGCCGAAGAGGTGGTTTCATGCTTCACTTACCATCCTACCGAGCGGCCGGGGTGAGAGACACAGAGTAGAAATGGTCACTCTCTTTCCCTCTGTTTTCTGGATGAAAACAGAGGAGAGTGACGGATCACAGAGAGAGACAGAGGGAGAGGTGAAGATCAAAGCAAGAAATATGACCCTCTGTCACCATGGAAAAGAACCGATCCTCTGTGTGTGTGTATGTGTGTGTGTGTGTGTGTGTGTGGACTGAACAAAACAGCGAGAGGGGAGAGGCAGGTTAATGTGTGTGTGTTGGGAAGTGGATAATGTTTCACAAAGGTTTTAGTTTTTTTTTTCCTCTCATACTCCCAAGTTTGCAGTCAGTCAGTGTCTTGTCTACTGCGCACCCGTCCACAAAACATTTTCATTTTCAGGTCTTTTTGGAAAAAGATATCCTCTTCTTCTCCTTGGCCTTTCTGCCTTTGCCTCGGTCAACATCTGGCCAGCTGTGGGGCAGAGTCTCAGCAGCTGAATGCAGGGTAATCCCAGCAGAGATG